AGCACAGGCAAGGGCACTTTCCTACCTCCTTCCCACTGTCTCTAGTTGGCCAAAATATGCCCCAACTCTCAAAAGGCTGTATCAGCATCCTCCTCATCATCCTGGGGAATAAAAGGTGTTTGGAGGAAGGAGCTGGCAGGGGGCAGCGAATATCCCCCCCTACCTTGAAATTCACCCTATCGTGAAATTACTCCAATAACCTTTCAGATTACAATAATCCAACAAGCTCAACGTGGGGCTGCCCTGGAGGACAACATGGAAGCTTTGACTGGTCCCATAAATCTGTCTGGGCTTCCCTTTACAGTTCATATATCCCCTGTTTTCAAATACCTTTCCTGGTTGCCAGTTTGTTTCTGGGCCCAATACAAGATGCTGATGTCAGAAGCCCTGAAGGACTCAGACCCCAAAGACCTGCAAGGTTGCCTGCTTCCCTACAGACCTTCTGTGGGGTGCTGAGATTGACAGAGGGGGCCCTCTTGGTTGTTCCTCCATCCTCAAAGGCTTTGGGGGGGCGAAGGGGAGAAGGCCTTCTCTGTGGTGGCCCCTGAGTTGTGGGACTGCCTTCTCATAGAGGAGTGCCTGGTGCCTTTATTGCACAGTCTCTTTTTAGGACATACCTTATTGGGGGGGGGGAGATTCCAGTTTGCTTTAAATGTTTATATATATGCCCCAGGAGCTTAGGGTTTGTAAATAATTACTCTCTTTTATTACAGAGGTGATTTAATTTTGCTCTGCCTTAGATTACCAAAGACTTTTTTTTTAACTGGCTCAAACGTTAAATTTGCTAGATCTATGGAGAGTAAGACAGCTGTTTGATAAATAGTTCACTTACTATTCTCATGTTTATTATAGCAGTTCAAGAATAGACACTCTATGGCTCTCTGCAAATTCAGGCAGAACTTTTTTGTCCTGTTGAAAAGCACGCCCCAAACTTTGGTCTTCCTTTGGTGTGTGTCCTTCCCCCCAGCAAAAAACAACCATCCTGTTTGTCAGTCTTTTGGAAACATCACAAGTTTGGGTTTGGAGTTAGGTGCGAAGGGTATCTTATACCATCGCCTGGTCTTTAAAGGGACAGCCATAAGCTCTGCCACTTTGGCAAGAAACATCACAGTACTGAAACAGGAAGAGTGTACCAGAATAATCAGTGAGTACATTATGCCAAGGTGTGTCTTCCAGCTGCAGTGCCCACTGGCGCAGCTGTGTGGTGAAGGCCCAGCCCTGCTAGGCAGGTGGGCAGCTGCTTCTGAGTCTACACACCTGTATGAAGTCCTTTGCCCCACATCTGCAGCAGACTTTTCTCCACTGCCGGCTGAGCAAGCTTCGAGTGGTGGCGGCTAATTTCCCAGTTCCCGACACCTCCTTCCCAAGCAGCACCCACTAGGAGACACTAGGCTATGGGTGCCTTCAACGTCGCCATCTGGTGGTTAAAGGGCTACAGCCTCCCTTCTTCCTTGCAGGCCAGTCTGGTGTGTAATTTGCACAACTTTTGCCTTGCCTTGCCTGCTCCTTTCCAAGGCACTTGCAGATAAAATGCACATATTTTTTTTTGTTTCTCTGCACTGCATCCACCTGCATGCATACTTGGGGCTGCATATTCAGAGACAAGCCGAGTGGTTCATCGGAACATAGAAAGCTTTATACAGACCCACCTGGTCCATCGAGCTCAGCATTGCCTGCACGGACCGGCAGGATTTCAGGTATGTCTCTCCCAACCCTACCTGTGACCTGCTTGCAAGGAAGACCCTCTGCCGCTGAGCTGCAGTCCTTCCTTGTTTGATCCCAAACTGCCGTCTCACACAGGGACAGGGAACCTGCGGACGTCCCAATGTTGTGGGAGTCCCGCCAGGCCCCCTCAGCATGGCTGGCTGGATCTGTAAGGCCACAAGGTCCCTGCCCCCCAGCCCCTTAGCATCAACATGGCCTGTCCAACATCCAGCCAAGCCTCCTGTGGTTAACTTACAAAATGCACTTTAGGGGCTGAGTCAGGCTACTGCCCCATGGTGCTCAGAATCGCTTTTCTGTTGACGGTTGTCCCAGTGGCGTAGCGTGGGGGGTGCAGGGGGGCCCGGGTGCACCGGGCGCAACATCTGGGGGTTAGGGTTAGGGTGCGCAAATCCACGGGTTAGGGGGCGCAAATTACTTGCCTTGCCCCGGGTGCTGACAACCCACGCTACGCCACTGGGTTGTCCGATTATCCTGCCTTGCTCCCTGCAAGACCCAACGCCTGTGCTGGCAAGGGGCAGCAGCCGTGGGCCCTTTGCTGCGCCCAGAGCAGGTGTCTTGCACCTTGACCCTCGCCAGAATCCTAAAAAATGCTTCTTTCTGGCAGAGGTCTTTGCCAGTCCTGTCTGCTCTACCACTTTGTGATGACCTTTCACCACGAAAACGAAAACGCCCGGCTCAGACCAGCAGTTCTGCAAGCAATGCCTGGTCCCTCCTCCTTTTCGTTTATTTGTTTCAAGTGCTGCAATCAGTGGGGCTGGTTGGGGGAATCGACAAAACGTACAGGTTTCTGGTTGCAGAAAAGAAGCATGGCTGGAGATTAATCTTCGCTGGTGGGGAAAATCAACAGAAGCCTTTGAAATGCACAGGGATTGTTGGTCCAGATGGTCAGGATATAAATAATAAAATTGTTGTTGTTGTTTGCACAGAGAGGGGTAGTGCTTAGAGTGTCAGATGTGGGCGACACCAGGGTTCAAATCCCCACTTCCCACGTGTTGAGGGCGCCTCTGCAGGCAGAACGAAGTCTGCGCACCCGCAGTTTTATGCTCCACCAACCCTCCTTGAGACAGAAAAACTGAACTGCAAGTGCGTTTTCTGTAGGGGGGACATACCCAACCCAACAGTTTTATTTGTCAGCCAACACACATGCACACGCCACACGCACACAAGACTTCACAACGCCCTGTCCTCCTCGAAGAACCTGTTCCGTGACCCGGCCCGTGGCTCTCGTGGGTGCAGGCCACGGAGGGCTGGCTGTGTTGAACAAGAGACACACATAGCTGGGGGCGAGGGGGGGAGCTGGCAACAGTGTCCGGGCTGCAGCGCTTCAAGGAGGGTGTGCCACGCGAACCGGATTAGCAAAACCGGTGCCACGCCGAGTGCAGAAATGAGGCCGACAGCGGGACTTTGGGGGCCGGGGGGGGGGTTGCACACATGGGAGAAAGAGACAAAAACAGACCTTTGGCAGAAGACACAGAGCTGTGGGAGCCTAGTGGGCGAAACAGCCGCAAAACAGCCGAGGGGTGGATACAGCTTGAGGCCAGGAGGGAAGGGGTGCTTCTTCTCCGGCACCCTTCCCCACCCACCAGTTTCCTCTCCACATCTTATCTGAGCAACCCTCCCCCTGCACACACACCCCTTTTCCCGTCTGCAGCTCCTGGGAGGGGTTTCCCCAGATGTCCAAGACAATTGCTGAAGGCAATCTGCATCTTGGATATTCTCGGTGCGAAAAGCAAGCCGCTGTTAGCAGCTAGCCGGCTTCAGAGAGGCTGTCTGCCATTACGATGGCGCTGCACCCGAGAGATACAAGTTTGGCGCTTCTACAAAGCAAGGAGATCTGTCCTGACTTGTGCAGAGATGCATCTTGTGCATCTCTGCTTTTGGCAAGCTCATTTTGGAGACAGGCCAATGGAGAGGGGTCTGCAGCTAGGACAGAAGAGGCCTTGGGAGTAAAACTGTCCACCTGGGAGCAGGAGCAGAAGGTTTTAGGGGTTTAGCTTGTTTGCTTCATCAATAAAAAGGCATGGGGGAGATACAGGACCACTAACTTGCTTCTCCCATCCCTTAATACTTTGGAGTAAAGATTCCTAAAACTCTTAGGACCAGATAATTGATCCATGTGACCCTTCTGGCCCCCGAGAGATAACAGCCAATTTATACATCAGGCAGGGGCATAGACAGGGCAGTCTCTGCTTTAGAAACATGCGAAGATGGGAAATCTGTTTGAATTCTCAGTTTTCACATAACTGCCCTGCACTTAGAAAGGTAGCAAGTAAGGCCTTTTTTCATCCCGAACTCCCTGGAACTCAGTTCCAGCCCCTCTCGGGTTGGCTCCATTGCCATTCTAAGAGAACAAGGGTGAGTTCCAGCACCTCTTTTTCTAGAAAAATTGCACTGGTAGCAAGTCAGGGAGAAGACCCAACTAGGCCCTTCAACATGCTAGCTCTCTATGCGAAGGGAGCTGTTGATTCTGAACTGAATATTTTTCAAATTAAAAAAAAAAACACTCCCCTGCAGCTTTGCGCAGTGTGATCCAGACAAAGCCAAACCACACACTTACTCTCCTCTGCAGCGTAAAAGCAGTGCACCTGTTTTAATTTCAGTTGGAGAAGTCTCACGACGGGACAAAATTTACCACCACGGGACCCATCAGCTTCGGGGGGGAAGGCTGGTGTGTGAAAAAGCTGCCTCAGGGTTCCTGCCTCCACCCCGGTCGAAGCCCCCTCCAAAGTCAGGGGGAGACAAAGCCATACCCCTCCCTACTTTGGGGCAAAGCCGAACCCTTTCTGAATCCCCTTCCCCACAAACTCACAGAAGCTGGGCCGCCCCCAAGCCCAGTGAGCGGCAGCACTCGCGAGGGGTCCTACCTCGCAAGGGTGGCAGGAGAACTTGCATCGGGGTGGGAAAGGGGCCAGATGGGAGCAGGGATCTGGCCCCTGGGGGAATTATCCTGCACCGAAAAGTAAGAGCTGATTGACACTGGAATGGAGTTCCTCAGAAGGCAGTGGACTCTGTTTCTGTGGAGGTTTTCTTTTGGCTGGCCGCTTGTCAGGGACTCTTCAGTCGCAGGAGAGCTTCCCCGCTGCTGGTCCTTCCCCTTCTCAGCCAGAGCGAGGAAGATGGTCGCTTGGCGTTTCCCAACACTGTCCGGCAGCTGCTCCTGCAGAACGGCAGCCTCGTGGGAGACCCTTCCTCTCTCTCTCTCCCCCTCCCCACCTTGCCTGGGACCCTGCCAGTCGGAGGAGGAAGTGGAGGCGGCCCTGGGGGGGAACCTCCACTCAGTACCCTGGCGTGATGGAGCTGTTGTAGGTCTCGGTGCGGAAGCAGGTGCTGTGGGACAGGCTTGTGAGGCTGTAAGCAAAATAGGCCACAGCCGAGCCCAGAGTCAAGCCCGACATGTAGGAGACGGTCATGGTGTTACCTGGGAAGGAGGGAGACAAGGAGGGCAAAGGGTTAAACAGGGCGGCACCCCAAGAGTCATCTAGTCCAGCCCTGGGCACTGCAGGAGAAACAGCTAAAACCTCCCTGATGGATGGCCAGCCAAAAAAACGTTAACAGTTATTATTACAGTGGTACCTTGGTTCTTGGGAGGCGGGTGGCGCTGTGGGTTAAACCACAGAGCCTAGGACTTGCCGATCAGAAGGTCGGCGGTTCGATTCCCTGCGACGGGGTGAGCTCCCGTTGCTCGGTCCCTGCTCCTGCCAACCTAGCAGTTCGAAAGCACGTCAAAGTGCAAGTAGATAAATAGGAACTGCTCTGGCAGGAAGGTAAACGGCGTTTCTGTGCGCTGCTCTGGTTTGCCAGAAGCGGCTTAGTCCTGCTGGCCACATGACCCAGAAGCTGTACGCCAGCTCCCTCGGCCAATAAAGCGAGATGAGCACCGCAACCCCAGAGTCAGCCACGACTGGACCTAATGGTCAGGGGTCCCTTTACCTTGGTTTTTGGGAGAAAAGCAATGACAAACCTAGACGGTATCTTAAAAAGCAGAGACATCACCTTGCCGACCAAGGTCCATATTGTTAAAGCTATGGTTTTCCCAGTAGTGATGTATGAAAGTGAGAGCTGGACCATAAAGAAGGCTGATCACCAAAGAATTGATGCTTTTGAATTATGGTGCTGGAGGAGACTCTTGAGAGTCCCATAGACTGCAAGAAGATCAAACCTCTCCATTCTGAAGGAAATCAGCCCTGAGTGCTCACTGGAAGGACAGATCCTGAAGCTGAGGCTCCAAGACTTTGGCCACCTCATGAGAAGAGAAGACTCCCTGGAAAAGACCCTGATGTTGGGAAAGATGGAGGGCACAAGGAGAAGGGGACGACGGAGGCAGTGGAAGACAGGAGTGCCTGGTGTGCTGTGGTCCAGGGGGTCACGAAGAGTCGGACACGACTAAACAACAACAACCTTGGTTCTCAAACGCCGCAAACCCGGAAGCAAGTAGAAGAAGACAGGGAAACATCAAACATTAAAAACGCCCCTTTACAGGGCTGCCTTCAGATGTCTTCTAAAAGCACTCGATTTCTGTAAGAACTTCCCGAGAATTGGCGTCGTTCTCTAATGAAAAAATGGCTCTGGAGTGACCTGGAAGCAAATGCCGTTGAGTAACAGCCGAAATGGATGAACCCTCGCCCCATGGCGATCCCTGCCACCTACGAGCCCTCTCTCGGTGCAATGGGACCCAGGTGCGAATCTTCCCTTTGTGGATACTCTGCCAGCCCCTTCCTCCATGGCGACCCCCCTGCAGGGCAGGGCAGCCGGCTCCCCACCTGCCCGCTTACCTGCCAGCTCCCGCTGCTCGGGGCTCACTTTGCCTGCCGCCAGGATCATGGGCACGCTGCCAAAGTAGCCGTTAGTGATGCCCATCAGGAGGGAGAAGATGCAAGGCCAGGCCGGGTGGCCGAAGGTGGGCTTCCCATTGGGGTAGACGCACATGATGAAGAGCGGGATGAAGACGACCCTCAGGCAGGAATAGATGAGGAGGTGTGTGCCCCTCCAGTCGTAAGGCAAGGCAGCCAGGATCTGGAAGGGCAAAGAGGAAGGCGCTGTGTTAAGCAGTTGGCCCCTTACCTGGCCACAGTGATCCACACGACGGTCACCTCCGGGCTCGATTATGTTGGCTATTTGCAGATTAGTTGCGCTGCAGAAGGCGTGCTGAGGAGACCACACATTCAAGAAACGCAAAATAACTTTTGCTAGGTTTTAATAACAAAAACAAAAACTCCTTTTACACTAAATTACAATATATCCATAAGCATGACCCATCCACCAGGGTACTGAGAGAGCTACATACTGCTCTTTATATCCCATACCCAACAGCTTAATTACCACATCTTAACAGCACCTGCTATACTGCTTCACAGCTGTAAAACCAGGTCATGTTATTTGCTCTGGGCGTTAAAGACATACACATCTTGTGAAACAATAATGACCCTTCAAATTTAAAGAGACCATTCGACAGATTATTGTAACTCGCTCTACGCGGGGCTGCCTTTGAAGCTGACCCAGAAACTCCAGTGGGTGCAGAATGCTGCAGCAAGACTCCACACGGGGTCCTCGCCGTGGGATCACATTCATCCAGTGCTTTACCAACTGCACTGGCTCCCGGTGGAGTACAGGGTCAGGTTCAAGGTGCTGGTTTTGACCTTTAAAGCCCTATGCGACCTAGGACCCTCGTACCTACAGGACCGTCTCTCCTGGTATGCCCCGTGGAGGACCTTAAGGTTCACAAATGACAACACTTTGGAGGTCCCAAGTGGCAAGGTGGTTAGGTTGGTCTCAACTAGGGCCAGGGCCTTTTCGGTACTGGCCCCAACTTGGTGGAACGCTCTGTCACAAGAGACTAGGGCCTTGACATCTTTCCGCAGGGCCTGCAAGACAGAGCTTTTCCACCTGGCCTTTGGTTTGGACTCAGTCTGACCCTTATGTTTCCCTCCCCTTACGATTTTGATCTATGGGCTACTTTTTAAATGAGGCCGCATTTTAACCTGTATTTTAAATTGGTGTTTTTTTCTATTATGTTTTTACTTGGAGAAAAAGGTGGCGCGTGAATGGAGTAAATAAATCAGGCATAGGAAAACTCTGGCCCTCCAGATGTTTGGGACTACAATTCCAATCATCACTAGCTCACAGAACCAGTGGTCAGGGATGATGGGAACTGTAGTCCCAAATATCTGGAGGGCCAGAGTTTGCCTATGTTTGAAATAAATTAACTCAAAATCCCTCTTCTCAGTGGGGCGCTGGGTACCTACTTCGGATGGGGGGGGGCGCAGCAGCCAGCTCCTACCTTGCCCACAAAGTCTGAGAGGTTGAAGATGGCCATGATGAGAATGGGAAGCCACTCCCCGAGGGTGCAATTCCGGATTTCCGACTCCAGTCCGGGGAAGAGGCACAGCGTGATGAAGTACGTCATCGCGATGGAGAGCATGTAAGCCCAGATGACTCTCGAGACGATGTATCGGTGGAGCATCATGTCTGCAAGGGAGGGGTGGCACAGGAGGTGGGGGTCGCGGTGTAACTGGGACTGGGGAGTTTGCACCCTTTTTACAAAGGGGCAGAGAGGGGTTTCCACAGTAGGGAACAACATCATGGGGAAAGGCCAGGCAGTGGCTGCACCCACAAAAGTCTTGGGCACCTTTCTCCCCAAGAGGGATCAGAGGCATAGCAAGGTCAGGTGGTACCTGGTGCAATTTTTTTTTGTCACCCCGCCACCATTGCAATTTTTGGGAACGTTGCCCAGAGTTTTTAGGGAAGGTTACTGAGCGCCGCCCGCCAAGCACGATAATCCAACCACCGATCGCTTAAAACTGCCCGACGAGGATGCAAGCTCCTCCCACTGGGGTGTGTGAACGCTGTACACTGGGGGGGTGCGAGACTGATCGCTGGGCGTATTTGCACAATCAGCGGGCGTATTTTCGTGCCAACGACTACGCCAATCGCAAAAATCTGCCTGCTGGGAGTGCGAGCGCCACCACACCAATCCACCCAGGGATATTTTTTCACCCCCCCAGGCCTGACACCCGAGGTGGACCGCACCCCCCACGCACCCCTTGTGACGCCCCTGGGAGGGACCCCTTACCCTTACCTCTGAAGCTCGGCCAGCTCCTCTGGAATTTGGCCCGAGGGACATCAAATCTCACGTAAGTGCCTCCGCCGCCAGCCAGCTCCCCCTCCTGCCCAAAGGCTTCTGGGGGGGAGGCCTCTTGCCCGCCCGGCCGGTTCTCCTGAGAGAGCAAAAGGGGAGGAAAGAACCAGCCTCATCACCTGTTGTCCTTCAGGGAATCTGACCCCCCTCCCTCACGGCGGTCTGCCAGTAGTGGAAAGGCAAGAAGCTCTTACCAAGGTCTTTAATTCAATATTCACAGAGAGAGAGACACGTAGAAATGACTAGGTGGAAAATAATACCATGGACAAAATTTCCTTATTGTGGTCAGATTATTCTGTTGCTCAATATCATATAGGCGCTGTCTATTTAAATTATATGCTCAAGACACGGCTGTTTTTAAATTAAAAACAACAATGATCCGAATTTTCAAATGCAATAGAGAAAAAGTGGTTCCATCCTGACACCCCCTGCCCAACTCGTGGGCTCACTTGCACGGGGAAGGGGCCACTTACAAATCGGATGTCTTCGGCTGTCACGTCGTGGTGGACCCTGTACCCAGAGCCGTGGCCTCCGGCCCCCCTGCACTCGGGGGCCCCCCTGTCCCGAGAGCGGGCGGTGTAGTACTTCACAAAGTGTGTCCGCTTCACCAGGAGGTGGAGGATGAAGCAGAGGAGCTCGAGGGTGATGGAGATGAAGAAGAAGATGATGGTGTTCTCCTTCTCGTCCGACAGGAGGAGTTTGGTGAAGATGCGGCTCAGCGAAATGATGACCCCGGCGGTGCCTGAGGAAGCGAGAGCAGGAAAGCTGACGGTTATTATTATTATTATTGTTACTAAATTTATATACCGCCCTATACCCTCAGGTCTCACAGGATACAATTACAATATAAAAACACAAATACAGTGGTACCTCTGGTTGTGAACAGGATCTGTTCCGGAGGCCCATTCGCAACCTGAAAAGAACGCAACCCATGTCTACCCATGTGTGGGTCGCGATTTGCTGCTTCTGTGCATGCATGTGATGTCATTTTTCGCATCTGCGCATGCACGAGCGGTGAAACCCAGAAGTAACCCTTTCCGGTACTTCCGAGTCACCGCAGGACGCAACCTGAAAACACGCAACCTGAAGCAAACATAACATGAGGTATGACTGTACAGTAGACCCTCGGGTTACGTTTCGCAACTTCGGGTTGCAAAAGCGGCAAACCCGGAAGTATTTTTCTGGGTTTCGCCGCTCGCGCGTGCGCAGAAGTAACGCCTCTGGATACAGATTTTTCAGGGTGCGCACCGACACCTGGAACGAATTAAATTCATATCCAGAGAGTCCACTGTACACAATGACAATAAAAACAGAAACAAGCGAACGACACCCGGACCCCGATTACTGCAAAGCAGGGGGTTGGACTAGATGATCCTCAGGGTCCCTTCCAAGTGTGGCACGTAATCCGCTGGTGCAGTCAAATGCAACATGTCTTATTTCCCTAGCGTGGGCACAGGCAGGGGGACATCCAGTCAGTGTAACTTCCTGGAGCATCTCCCCCGTACATGTGACCTGGGAGATGGGCATGGATCTGGCTGACTCCATAAAGAGCCAAGTCATGCAACCAGCTTCTCAGTCTGTTTTATCTTTCTATTGTCTTGCTCTGTCTTTTGCTGCCATGCTGCTCTCCTGCCTGCAGCCATTTTGTTATTTCAACATAATTTTGCTGTCTGCTGGCTCTCAGCCAGCAGCACCTGAGTTCAGCCTCCATATGAGATCAACCACAGTTTCTTTGTGTAACTACCAAGCACAGTGGTACCTTGGGTTACATACGCTTTTTTTTTACAGGCTCTGCTAACCCAGAAATAGTACCACGGGTTAAGAACTTTGCTTCAGGATGAGAACAGAAATCATGTGGCAGCAGCAGGAGGCCCCATTAGCTAAAGTGGTACTTCAGGTTAAGAACAGTTTCAGGCTAAGAACGGACCATCAGAACGAATTAAGTTCTTAACCCGAGGTACCACTGTAAATTCTGCCTTTCAGGGATCAAATCGTGAACTGAAATGTGAGTAAACTTTTTGTGACTTTACAGTGGTGCCTCCGGTTACAAACTTAATCCGTTCTGGAGGTCCATTCTTAACCTGAAACTGCCACGAGGCACGCTTTCGCTAATGGTGCCTGCCGCTGCTGGCACTGGTGCGCGACTTCTGCTCGCATCCCAGGGCAAAGTTCGCAGCCAGGAGCATCTACTTCCGGGTTAGCGGAGCTCGTAACCCACAGCGTTCGCAAGGAGGACGGTACATAACACAAGGTTCTACTGTACTCTGAAAGACTCTCGTGTCCTTATTCTTTTAAGTGGGATTAAAGGGGACACTGAGAAATAATCTTAACTAAGAGATTCAAATAAATCTGCACACTAGCTTCCAGCTATATTGAGGGGAATCTGCTCTGCTACATCACTACATCACTAGCGTGAGTGAAATAAGGATAATACTTATTCAATATATCCTTTTGTACTATCTTTAACATTCCCACACACAGTTCTAGGAAGAAGGGGGAAGGAGGTAGGGAATACAGCAAGGGGACCCTGGCAAGTCAGGTGCAACCCTGAGCCTCATCTGTGCTGCAGAAACCTCCGACTTTAAGACTTCAGTATGGTCGCATCTTGCACAGGGGTTACGTTCCAAAGATGATGATATTATTATTATTATTATTATTATTATTATTATTATTATTACACACATGTGCAAAAACACTTGTATTTGGCCTCTGTACCAGCATCCTTGGGGCGCGGGTGGCTCTGTGGTCTGAACCACTGAGCCTAGGACTTGCCGATCAGAAGGTTGGCAGTTCAAATCCCCGCGACGGAGTGAGCTCCCGTTGCTCAGTCCCTGCTCCTGCCAACCTAGCAGTTCGAAAGCACGTCAAGTGCAAGTAGATAAATAGGTACCACTCCGGTGGAAAGGTAAACGGCATTTCCATGCGCTGCTCTGGTTTGCCAGAAGCGGCTTAGTCATGCTGGCCACATGACCTGGAAGCTGTACGCCGGCTCCCTCGGCCAATAAAGTAAGATGAGTGCCACAACCCCAGAGTGGTCCGTGACTGGACCTAATGGTCAGGGGTCCCTTTACCTTTACCTTTACTAGCATCCTTACCTTTAATAATAATAATACCCCACCTTTTTCCCTTGCAGGGACACAAAGCAGCTCAAAGATAAGACAAAAACAGTCAAAAACATGGGGAGGGGGGACCAGACCCGCAATCATTTAAAATAATTAAACATTAATATAATCTCTCAGTGTCTGAATTGATCTATTAAAATAGCACAGCACCAGGGCTTTCATGAAAGCAGTCTGTTCCCCAAAGCCAGTTGGAACAATATGATGGCAGGAGGACGGCAAGGAGGGAGCCAGTCTGCCTTCCCTAGGCAGGGAGTTCCAAAGTTGCCTGGAAGGAGCCACCACCGAGGAGGCCCTCTCCCGCCACCCCACCAAGTGGTCCTCTGAGGGTGGCGGGCGCATGAGGGAAGATAGTCCTTCTCAGGGTTTCTCAAACTTGGGTTTCCAGTTGATTTGGGGCTACAATTCCCATCATCCCTGACCACTGGTCCCGCTAGCTAGACCCTGGTCTTTCTGATAGCCTGGACATAAGCAGTGCAGAGCACAGCCAGCATTTTGAATTGTGCCTGGAAACAGACCAGTAGCCATTTATTCTATTCCATTTACAAATTACAAAATGCCTCAAAGCCAGGAACGTCCTCTTCCCAATCTGCTTGGTTTGCCTTATTTAACCACAGCCCCAGAATCTAGATTTCCTTGGGGCCAAAATTTGGGTCAGCTGGGCTCAGAGGTTGACTCTTCTGCCGCAGGGCTGTGACTCTCTCAAGCACCTCCCTCGCGAGACAGAGAAACGGCAGGTTTCCTAGCAGCCTGCTGCAGAAATCTAACAACCTTCCCCTCTTCTCCGGAGTTTCAGTTGATTAATCTTCCAGCTCAAGCTCATTATTAGTCAGATTAATACTGCACTACTGAGGAGCGTTTACTGCCCACGGAAATCAATGGCAGCTCCAGCAGGAGCTTCTCTGTATGAGAGAAATCTAGGAATCTACAATCACGAACCTACAGAAGTGCAGCAGAGGAAAATACCAATTCCTTCTCCTCTAGTAACTTATTGTTCATGGTAAAAAGAGCTCTTACCATTCTAGTTCCTCCCTGGGGGAAGGCATTTGCCCCCCACAAAAAGCAGGGAAGTTTTTAGGGTGCAAAGTTGTATTGTGTTTTTACTTTTTGTTGTAGTCGTTGGGAGCCGCCCAGAGTGGCTGGGGGCAACCCAGTTGGATGGGTGGCATATAAATAAAGTATTATTATTATTATTATTATTATGGGGAGCGAGGAAGAGTGATTTTGATCAGGGAAGGATTTCACCTGCACACACACACACACCTGGGCTGTTTCCCAGCCCTCCCTGCACAATCGTTTTAAGACAGCGGTTCTCAACTTGTGGGTCCCCAGATGTTGTTGGACTACAACTCCCATCATCCCTGAGCTCTGGCCTTGCTAGCTAGGGGTGCTGGGAGTTGTAGTCCAACAACATCTGGGGACCCACAGGTTGAGAACCGCTGGTTTAAGAAAAGCATCATCAGGAGATCTCGATATCCAGACACTTAGCTGGCCCTGAAGAAGCAGGACTTCAGATCTCTTTCCTCACCTGATGACGGCAGCACGGCTGACGTAAGATCATAAGGAGAGGCTCCTGGGTGGAGCCAATGGCTGATCTAGTCCACCATCCTGATTTCACAGTGGCTGAACAGATACCATGATCAGGGATGGTGGGCACCTGGAGGGGACTCTGTTGGCTATTTCTCTCCTGGAGTAGCCATGTATTTACATTCACTCACACTATTGAAATAAACATTCAAATGATTGCTTGTCATCTCCAGTGGTCATCTATTCCAACCCCCTTGCGATGCAGGAATCACAGATAAACAGTCCCTGACAGATGGATTGTTGAATGTTGATTCTTGTTTCTTATATGCCGTATTGGCCTGGATATAAGCTGCACCCACAAATAAGCCACACCTTTAAAATTCAAGGGGGTGGGGAGACAATACCCGAATACAAGCTGCTCCCTTAAAATTGGGTTACAGGCTGAGAATCGCTGCGGTTGGTAGAATCGTAACTCCAAGTCAATTTAAGCCTTTGATCTTGCAAGCCTGCAAAAGTTGTAGTACAATCGCTAACATCGCAAATTACTATTCAGTTGCTACAATTCCACAGGCACGCACACATGCAAATGGCAAAGGAACAGTCTCGAGCTCACAAATCGGCCATAAAACATTTTCCTGTTCCGTTTTACCGCACGTCTGTTTCAGCAGCGATATCGTAAAAGCCCATTTTTGTAAGGTCGCAAATTTAAGCCGAACTTTAACTTTTCACGGTCGGAATTAGGGGGTGGGGGAGTGCGGCTTATATTCGAGCCAATACGGTAAATAAGTGAAAACAACAAAAAAATGGGGGGTTGGATTTTGGACAATACTCACTCTCGCCGGTCATCACCCCCTGGGTGTAGCGCTTTGGTAACATCCCGGTGTAGCCATAAAAGCTGGATTGCTGCACTTAAGAGGAGAGAGACAGACAGACAGACAGAAGAAAAGATTAGGATATGATTACCAGATTTTTTTTCAATGAATCCGGGGACACTTTTTTTTTTTTTTTTTGAAGCTGAGTAGCAACAGGGAGTCAGTAGTGAGGATTGTAAAACATAAATGCACAGAGTTTTTTAAAAACTGGGCAACAGCCAGCCACCTGCAACTCCCGAGCCTCCCCCAATCAGTCAAAACAAAGGGGGAAGGGGGCAGGAGATCTGTACCGCCAGACGTCCCCGGTTCCCCTTCAGCAGCGGCAGTCAGCAGCCCGGAGCCAGCCTGGTAGCACAGTTGGCTCTGGCTGGCTTCAGGATCTGCTTGCTGCTCGCTGCTGTGGCGTCCACCAGTTTGCCTCCCGGAAGTCCCCATATGATGTGTCTTGTGCGCAACACATCATATGGGGACTTTCGGCGAGGAAAAATGGTGGGGCCATGGCAGCGAGCAGCTCCTGAAGCCAGCCAGAGCCAACTGCACTACCAGGCTGGCTCTGGGCTGCTGAGGCTGCCATTGCAACATTTTCTGGGGACAGATTTGCAAATCCGGGGACTGTCCCCGGGAACCGGGGCGTCTGGTAACCCTAGAATAGGAGCATGGTTATTCTGTCAGCCTTCCCAGCCTAGTGGCTTCCAGCTGGACAGCAATGGCTTGGCTGCCTGGGGCTGATGGAAGCAGAAGTCCACAAATCTGGAGGGAACTGAGTTGGATAAAGCTGCCAGCAAATTCAAGCTTGATTCCAGACTTATTCCAGAAACGGCTTTCTGGATTCGTTTTGTGACATTTAAGTCCTGCCTTTGATCTGGGCTGTGCCTACGGGGAGCAGAGGAATTCAGGGAGGAAAATGGCAGAATTGTGGAATCGTAGAATTGGGAGGGACCCCCGAGGGTCATCTAGTCCAACCCCCTGCAATGCAGGAATCCCAGCTAAAGCAATTAAAGGGGAGGGGAAACGGCCTCAGTCCAGTATAGCCGAAGGAGTTAGGATTCTTGCTCCATGTTTGCAGTCATGGGATTGTTGTCTATCACATGATGGTATATGTTTTCATTCCACAGAGTGGGAAGTGATGGAGACAGGATGTTTTGGTATTACTGTGTTCCGTGAAGTGGGACTATTGTCCTTTGTTTTTCTCTCTCTTTGCTGTCTGATGAGAAAGAGGAAGGAGCTAAGTCAGAATGCTCCAAGTGTATTATATGTAAATAAAGTAGATTAGCCAAAATGCTGAGCTACTGAGTTCTGTTACGCAAATACTCTGCAGGATCGTAAGTGTGCTGATGCCTTTTGGTATCAGTCGCTGTGATGTTCAGGCTGAAGAAAGCTTTTGAAGCTCCTGAATGACCGACCAGGAGGGAGAGAACATGCCAGTCAGGCACATATCTCTACCAGGGCCCTACACAAGAGGAGGACGATCCTAACAGTCTCCACCCCCATCGTTCAGCCCAGACACTGAGGTCCAGTGTCAAGGGCCTTCTGGCAGTTCCCTCCCTGCGAGAAGCAAGGTTACAGGAAACTAGGCGGAAGGCCTTCTCGGTGGTGGCACCCGCCCTGTGGAACGCCTTCCCATCAGATGTCAAGGAAATAAACAACTATCCGACTTTTAGAAGACATCTGAAAGCAGCCCTGTTTAGGAAAGTTTTTAATGTTCAATGTTTTATGCTGTTTTTAATATGTTGGGAGCCGCCCAGAGTGGCTGGGGAAACCCAGCCAGATGGGCAGGGTTGTTGTTGTTGTTTAGTCGTTTAGTCGTGTCCGACTCTTCGTGACCCCCTGGACCAGAGCACGCCAGGCACTCCTGTCTTCCACTGCCTCCCGCAGTTTGGTCAAACTCATGCTGGTAGCTTCGAAGACACTATCCAACCATCTCGTCCTCTGTCCTCCCCTTCTCCTTGTGCCCTCCATCTTTCCCAAATGGGCAGGGTAGACATAATAAATTATGATTATTGTGTCCATTGTGAGGCTGGCTGCCCCCTGCCCGCCCCCCGCCTACCTGTGCAACCAAAGGCCACCACGCCCACGGCAATGAGGTTGATGGCGTAAGCTTGCGCCTGCGTGAAGAGGTCCAGCCAGACGTCACAGATGCTGACGAAGAGGAGGGGGCCCAAGGCAAACAGGTACCCTGGAACAGAGAAGGGGGGCGGGAATCATTTCTCAACAAGAAGTGCCCGGAGCTTCAAGCTGCAACGCAGGAACTTAATCTTAATTATTTAAATTTCTTATTTAATCCGCAAGAAAGAAGGGCTTTTTCGCTGGCTAGGTTCAATTCTAATCCTTCTAACCTCCTTTGGGGTAGGTTTGCGGGTTTGGCAGAAGGAGATAGGCTCTGCCCATGCGATGCCCACCCGGTGAAAACTCCAGCTCACATGGCCCTTAAATGTAAAATGTGTGATGATCTCCGCCAACAATTTCTAGACCACCTATCCCAACATGGAAACCAGAGACGGAAGTTATGAGCTTCTTATTACAGGAGAGAGACCAGGAGTTCACCAAGACAGTAGCTAAATTCCTCTACAGTGGTACCTTGCAAGACGAATGCCTCGCAAGACAAAAAAACTCGCTAGACGAAAGGGTTTTTTGTTTTTTGAGCTGCTTCGCAAGACGGTTTTCCCTATGGGCTTGCTTCGCAAGACGGAAACGTCTTGCAAGTTTGTTTCCTTTTTCTTAACACCGTTAATACAGTTGCGACTTGACTTCGAGGAGCAACTCATAGAACGCGGTGTGGTAGCCTTTTTTTGAGGTTTTTAAAGACTTTGGTGATTTTTGAAGCTTTTCCAAAACTTTCCCGACACCGTGCTTTGCAAGACGAAAAAAATCGCAAGACGACAAAACTCGCAGAACGAATTAATTTCGTCTTGCGAGGCACCACTGTATTTGATTTATTTTTTTGTCGCCGAAGTATGCTACAGGATCCTGCCCTTGCTGGAAACCCACAGAGATGAGGCAGATTGCTTGCCCCTTCTGCCCTTTGGTGGTTGACTGTGCCATTGGGGTGGCGACGAGATCACACTGGCCTATCTATTCTGAATGTATTCTGAATGTTCTTATGTGATGCCAATAAAGGTTACTTGACTTGACTTCAAGCTGCAAGCCAACCACATTCACTGAAACCCTACAAACTGACCCAGACACTGTGTCCATCACCTGAGACCCTTCTTCGTTCCCTGGGTGAGGTCCGGAGGGTGGAAACATGAGAACGGGGCCTTTTCGGTGGTGACTCCCAGCTTACGGAATATGCTCTCCCCAGAGAGGCTGGCCTGGGACCATTGTTACATTTATTTAGGTGCCGGGGGGGGGAAATCCTTTTTTGCAAGGCTTTTGGCTCTTCACTAACTGTGGCTCGCTTGAGTGGGTGGCATGCTTGATTTGGTTTTAATATATGTTTGTTTCTTGGAGCAAATCGCTTTGAATTTTTTGCAAGATAAGTACAGTGGTCCCTTGGTTCTTAAACGCCTTGGTACTCAAACAACTTGGAACCCGAACACTGCAAACCCGGAAGTAAGTGTTCCGGTTTGTGAACTTTTTTCGGAAGCCAAACGTGCTCCGTTTTGAGTGCCACACTTCCATTTTGAGTGTTACGCTGAGGTCTGTCTGTTTTTGCTATTTATTTTGCGGTTTTATTTTTGCAGCTCTTTTTTTTTTGTTTGTTTTTGTGACTGTGTGGAACCCAGTTCAGCTACTGATTGATTGTGTGACTGCAGTACATTGTTTATCGCTTTCATTTTATGGATCAATGGTCTCGTTAGATAGTAACATTCATGTTAAATTGCTGTTTTAGGGGTTGTTTTTAGTCTGGAACAGATTAATCCATTTTGAAATACTTTCTATGGAAAAGCACACCTTGGTTTTGGAACGCTTTGGTTTTGGAATGGACTTCCGGAATGGATTAAGTTTGAGAACCAAGGGACCACTGTAAAATAACAACAATGATGGTGATGATGTAAATCCTGAACTAGAACTGGGATTATGGGATGGAAATCCCTCCCACTTAACAGCTGCCTTGTCTCTTTCATTCTCCCCTAAAATTTTGGCAACAGTCCACATTCCCAGCATGTTTGCATCCCTGTCTCAGTGACCTCTATGCTGGCTTGGTCAGGTCCACAGAATGGAAGGACACCTGAACAAGAACATCTGATGGAATAGGTTCTTCCATCTCTACTGGAATAGGTTCTTCATGGGACTATCAGCAGAAAATGTTCTTTTTACTAAGAGTTGTGCTTTTAATACTGTTCTGTTGTGAGCTGCTTTGGGCATATTTATATGGAACAGCAGCATATAAATTTAAATAATAAAGGGGGCAGGATCCCCAAGGACATGCTCTGTGGGGAGCTGGCTTCAGGCACCAGGCCCGTTGGCAGACCAACTCTGTGTTACAAAGATATCTACAAAGGCTGGTGACATCAACCCTACTGTGTGGGATTCCCTTGCAGACGAACACAGTGCCTGGAGAGAGACAGTCAGGTTGTGCATCCATAGCAGTGAACAGAGGAGGAATGACCACTGGGAGGAGCACAGAGAGAAGAAACGCCTTGGTGCATCTGAATCAGCGCAACCGGACGCCTCCATCTGCCCCGGCTGCAACAAAACATGTCTCTCCCCTATCGGTCTATACAGCCGCAGCAGGTGCTACAACTGTCCAACAGCTTGACCTCACTCCCAAAGGCACACTCTTCCATTGTCTCTTGAGGCAGATGGATGTCAACCAGATTATATTTTGCTGGAAGCTGTTCTGAGTGGCTGGGGCAACCCAATCAGATGGGCAGCCTATAAATTAAAAAAAAAAATTTTTTTTACTTATCATCATCATCAACATCTGCATCATCATCTAGGAGGCTGCATGCATTCTCCCTAACCTGGTGCCCCCAGATGTTCTGGACTACAAAACATCTGGCTGGGATGGATGTGATTTGTAGTACAAAACACTTGGAGTGGATCTACACACAGGGGGGAAAGCGCTATAAATGTCAGAAATTAAATCGTTATAACAAAAGGGGGGGGGGGAACCACAATGGAAAATCACAAAGAATCTTTTTTTTTTTTTTTGCCATCTAGTGTTGCATGTTTATAACGCATTCGAAACTCTGTTTTTTAACTAATGTAGCTGAGTCCTTGGAGCGCTCGAGGTTGGCGAAACGTGGCCTGCATCTTTCCTGAGATCTGCGCTTTTAAAGGAAGATGTTGACAAACGGAAGAAAGCTGTGGACAGAGGTTCGCTGCATTAGTGGCGAGCCTAACATGAGCTTTGCCTGGCAAGACTTACCCACCGCGATCCTGGTGTGGAGGCTCAACATTTCCACCAGTGCGTTGTTGAGGATGACGGCTGCCAAGGCAACCAAGATGTAGGTAAGGCTCATATCAAACACGATAGAGGTCCCTGCAGAAGGAGAGGAAGGCAGCAAGAAGGGCAAAATAAGCTTTCAGGATACAGGCCCCAGGTGCACGAGATTTGCTTTCTCTTGGCCGCCAGCTCTGCCTTCAAACCAGAAGCAAGACGGGAGCAACTCCGTCATAGCTGTCAACGTTTCCCTTTTTTCAAGGGAAATTCCCTTATTGCGAATAGGATTCCTTGCAAGAAAAGGGAAAAGTTGACAGCTATGAACTCCAGCCATCAGCTGGACCTCCTAAAATTATCTCTATGGCGCTTTGAGTGTTTTCGCACCTGGTGATTTCAGCTTCAATACACTGATATCACTGCAAGGTTTTTGGCATTTAGTTTTAAAAGAAACAATAAATATTACGATAGAAACTAATAATACTATCGATTTTCCTTGCTTACATCATCGAAACTGAAATCCTACATCCCATAAACCCTTTTGTCTCTGCCCACTAACACACAGCTGGAGGAGGGGTCCCATCCACCTTCCTCAGGCATATTTCTTGGGATGATTGCTTTATTATTAGGCTGCCTATCAGTATGGGTTTTTTTTACTATGTTTCTTATTATGTTTTTAACATTGATGTTCTGTGATGTGTTTTTAATGTTGTACACCGCCCTGGGATCTTTTGATAAAGGGCGGTATATAAATTGAATAAACAAGAATAAATAATAATATTGTTGCTGCATCGTCTCGATGATACCAGTAGTCAAAAGAACTCGCATCATATATGATCTTAGCAGCTTTACAACTTCTTTTTGTAAATGTTAACATCCCATGCCAGCCTGGAACGATTCAGTTTAGTTTTTACGTGTTTGTCTCATGTTTTGTTATTTGGATATTATGGATAGAATTAAATAAAAATACTTAAGAAGGAAAGGAGGGAGGGGGAATATATCTGAAGGAGTGTTGAATGCCTGGGGATGGAATGACTGGCTCCGGGAAAACAGCCTAAACCTGAATTTTTTGACCTTCCAGAATGTTCTTCTTAAATATTGAGGAACCAGTACCTGGGTATTTGTGATGGAGATAGTCCACGTCTGTGATAAAGCTATTGTAAGGCAAGAGGAAACCGACCCCTGCTAGCAGCATGGCGAAGTAAATCCCATGGTAGCGGTCCTGGGGCTCAGGGTCTTCGCAGACTATAGCCAGGAAAGAAGAGAGAAAATGAGAGTGACGTGATTGCGGGAGATCTAGAAAAGGTCGCTTCACCTCCTAAGGGAAGTTGAAGAGTTGGAAAAAGGGGTTCAGAAAAGGGCACCCAAAAGGATGGAGCGATAATGAGAAAACGTCGCAACGTCTGGAGCTTTTTCTGGTTTGGAGAAATGGTGAGCAAGAGGTTACATTTATTTATTTTGTGGCGTTTATAGTGAAGAAAACCTCAAAGCAGCTCACAAAGAGAACAGGGCAATTAAATGATTCGTAAAAACAATGCATTCAAAAATTGAAAGCCAGCAATAAACAAAAAAACACACCAGTATTCTGGATATCTGGGTAGGCTTGCCCAAGCAGGGATGTTTTTTGCAGGTGCCGAAAAGAGTATAGTGGTTTTTGAATGTAATCCACTCTGGAAGAGCGTTCGACTTCTGAAACATTCGAAAACCAAGGCGCAAAGGTCTGGCTGCAAGTTCAGTTGAAAAAATTTAGAAACACACAGCGGAAGCCGTTCGATTTCCGAGGTGCGTTCGAAAACAGAAGCAATTACTTCCGTGTTTTTGGCGTTCGGGTTCCGAAACGTTCAGCTTCCGAGACGCTTGAAAACCAAGGTACCACTGTACAGTGTGCAGGTGCCGTCACAATAAAACATTTAATTCATTCAGCCAACTAAGCATTGCAACCCTGCTCACAAATAACTCCTACTCTGCTCACTGGGCCTTCTCCTGAGTAAGCGTGCACAGGATTGGAGCTGTTATGAAGAAGGCAGGGGTATAAATCTCTGTTCATGGGCTCCCAGAGGATAAAAACGGAAGACGTTCCAGAGCAGAAAACTCATTCCAGCTTGGAAAAGGGATTTAACCACCCCTCTCTGCTTTTAATTTTTAAGATGCTGGCATTAATGTTCGGAAGCGGCAGGCTCTTGCAGGGTATCTAGCGCCTGAGGGGATGATGCACGTTCAAGACGATAAATACCAGTCTGATTAAATTCCATTTGGCAAATTGCAACCTTTTGGCGGATACTCAGGAGGTGCTCAAATACCAGATCTTAGCTGTGCAACGTCTCCAAATCACATATCACGGAGCGTGGAAAGACCAGCGTATATGCAGAGAGATTAACAGAGTCCAACAAACAGAGGAAATGCAAAATCTGTTGGTCACGCCGTACTGGAGTTATGTGGTTTAGCATTGCCCAGAAGAAGCAAATCACAATCCCTGGCTAAGTTTTCTACAACCAAACCAAGGTTTGTGCTTCGTTTTGCTCCAAGAAACCACCATCAGTAAACCAAGAGCAAATCTGGGCTGCGGGTCACAGTTTCCTGGGAGAAAACAAAAAACCACTATCCTGCGCTTGGCTCTAAGGCTGAGCTGGGGAGCGTGGTTTCCTTCATCCCAGCCTGAGAGGAGCAAAGTGGTCTGGATCCACAGCAAAACGTGACTTTACTGTGCCAGGCAAGGGAGACCCACGTCTCCTTTTGGGAAATATAGAAAGGTGGAAAAATTTTCATTACAAGTTTTTGGACAACCCTGTTACAGTGGTGGAGGAACCCTCTCAGGCACCTGTGGCGGGACGCCGAGCGGGGTGGGCAAACCACCTGGTGACGCACGTGCAACATCCGTACGGACTGCGCATGTGCGGCGACCGTATGGCCCTCCAGATGTTTTGATCGCACTACAGTGGTACCTCTGGATACAAACGGGATCCGTTCCGGAGCCCTGTTCGCATCCTGAAGCAAATGCAACCCACAATTGTGGGTTGCGATTCGCCACTTCTGCGCATGCGCGTGACGTCATTTTGACGGTCTGCGCATGCGCGAGCGGTGAAACCCGGAAGTAACGCTGCGGAGTGCAACCCAAAAATGCTCAACCTGAAGCAACTGCAACCCAAGGTATGACTGTATTATTATTATATTATTATTATTATTGTTATTGTTATTGTTATTATTATTACTAATATTCTGTTGGGAGCCACCCAGAGTGGCTAGGGGAACCCAACCAGATGGGAGGGATATAAATTAATTTAATTGTTGTTGTTGTTGTTGTTACAGGCCCCTCCTTGTGTGGTCCAAAGCGTCGGGAGTCTGCAAAAGTGGACATTATTGAGGAAGCAAAGGCAACTGCATAAGGTGAAGAGTTTGATCACGACCCACGACACCCTGCGTGGGCTCTTACCTGGTTCCATGAAGGTGAGGACTCCTTTGGCCTGGCAGCCTTTGGCCTGAAGCTCCTCTTCCTCCAGCTGGTAGCTGTCGAAGCTGAAGCTCATCACCACGTTCCCCTCGGGAGTCACCACGGGGCTGAGGTCCTTGAAGTGCTCGCCCCCCACGGAACCCATGGCTGGTTGGCCCTATGCATGGGGAGAGAGAATACGAGAGCAGAAGTAGAGACAGCTAGGCGGGCAATGTGCCCCCAACACACCTTGCAAATCACTGAGCTGCTCAGTTGCACTTGGGGCAGCAATTGACAGCCCGTGGACTGTCTCGCCAGAGTGGTGCATGCGCTGGTTATCTCCCGCTTGGACTACTGCAATGCGCTCTACATGGGGCTACCTTTGAAGGTGACCCGGAAACTACAACTAATCCAGAATGCGGCAGCTAGACTGGTGACTGGGAGCGGCCACCGAGACCACATAACACTGGTCTTGAAAGACCTACATTGGCTCCCAGGACGTTTCCGAGCACAGTTCAAAGTGTTGGTGCTGACCTTTAAAGCCCTAAATGGCCTTGGCCCAGTATACCTGAAGGAGCGTCTCCACCCCCATCGTTCTGCCCAGACACTGAGGTCCAGCGCCGAGGGCCTTCTGGCGGTTCCCTCCCTGTGAGAAGTGAGGTTACAGGGAACCAGGCAGAGGGCCTTCTCGGTGGTGGCGCCCGTCCTGTGGAACACCCTCTTGTCAGATGTCAAAGAGAAAAACTACCAGACTTTTAGAAGACATCTGAAGGCAGCCCTGTTTATGAAAGCTTTTAATGTATAACAGACCACTGTATTCTAATACTTTGTTGGAAGCTGCCCCAGAGTGGCTGGGGAAACCCAGCCAGATGGGCGAGGTATAAATAATAAATTATTATTATTATTATAGAAAAGAGCAAACCAGTGATATTTTATGGAGCAGGCTAGCAGGCAGGGCCCATGATTTACATCATAGGAGCCTATACAACACAAAACATTGTTGCTCTATGTAGATTTTATTTTATTTGTTTTTTATCTTACCTTTTGGAAATATACCGTATTTTTTGCTCTACAAGACTCACTTTTTCCCTCCTAAAAAGTAAGGGGAAATGTGTGTGCGTCTTATGGAGCGAATGCAGGCTGCGCAGCTATCCCAGAAGCCAGAACAGCAAGAGGGATTGCTGCTTTCTCTGCGCAGCGATCCCTCTTGCTGTTCTGGCTTCTCGGATTCAGAATATTTTTTTTCTTGTTTTCCTCCTCCAAAAACTAGGTGCATCTTATGGTCTGGTGCATCTTATAGAGTGAAAAATACGGTGCATCCAGTCTTTTCCCTTTAAAGGGACCCTTAGGGACCCTAAGCTATAGCTTGTTTAGCTTCTACATAAATCTGGCACTGCTCACAGTGGCCAACCAGATGTCCTAACCGGGAAGCATGCAAGCAGGAATCGAACACAAGAGCAACTCTCCCCTCCTGTGCCTTCCAGCAACTGGGATTCAAAAGCATTGCTGCCTCTGACCGTGGAGGCAGAACACAGTCGTTGTGACTAAAAGCCATCGATAGCCTGCTTTCTCCATGAATTTGTCAAATCCTCTTCTGAAGACATCTAAGTTGGTAAGTTGGTGGCTATCCCTGATTCCAGCGACAGTGAGTTCCATAGTTTTATGAGTTAAGAGCATGGGTAGGCAACCTAAGGCCCGTGGGCCAGATGCGGTCCAATCGCCTTCTCAATCCAGCCCCCAGACAGTCCTGGAATCGGTGTGTTTTTACATGAGTCAAATGTGTCCTTTTATTTAGAATGCATCTTTGGATTATTTGTGGGGCACAGGAATTCGTTCATTATTATTTTTTCAAAATATAGTCTGGCCCCCCACAAGGTCTGAGGGACAGTAGACCATCCCCCTGCTGAAAAAGTTTGCTGACCCCTGGTTCAGAGCGTCCATATGTAGCTCCTTGGCTCTCTCCAAGGCCAGTCCGAACAGGCCTGTTATGCAGATCACAGATGCAAAAACTGCACCATTTACACAACTATAAATGCAAGTAGCGTTTTGGCGTGAGATTTGCACTACTTTTCTGCAGCCTTGTAAATATTAGCGTGCGGGTAAGTGCAAAGTGCGTGGACCAGCGGATAGAGAAAAGCTTTCCTCCCTCAAACTTGTGGGCATGGAGCTGAATGCTGGGAGATTCAGGAGAGATAAAGTCTAAGCGGAACTATGGAGACTGTGGAACTCCCTGCCACAGGAGCGATGGCCACCAACTTGGATGGCTTTAGAAGACGACTGGGCAAATTCATGGAGGAGGAGAGGGCTATCAAAGGCTCCTTACCTCAATGCTTTTTAAAAATCTGTATTAGGTAACAAATTTATTTCATCTATCAGAAAGCGGGAGCGTCAGGCAAGCCTCTTTCTCTACCTTATCTAGCAAGCTTTGCTGGTCTCTACCAGAAAAGCAGCCTTGGTTGTTGTTTTTTTACAGCCTCAGCTGTCGCTAGGAAGGAGTACAGATGTTCTCTGCGCTTTTTCCTGGATGTGCTTAATTAACCCCACGTTAACTCCCTTCAGCTGAAGAATAAAAGCACACAAACAGCCAGTATTAAGAGAGGCCGGGGGGGGGGGGAGAGATTGCTGCCTGCAAATCCTCGATAGGAAAATAAAAAGAAAAGCCGCAACCAAGATAAGGCCAGACAGGAAATGATTTCCATACACAGCAACCGCAAAAGAGGTGTGGGGCTGTTTGCTTTTTATATTGCAACCCTATTTTAAAACCTGTTATCTAACGCTCGTTGTCAATATTCAGGCAACTGGGATGTGTTTTGTTCCACAGACACATTTGACAAACTCCCTTTGGTTATCCTCGATTCCAATCTGAGGCTGGAGCTGATTCTCCGCTGCCCAGTTTGAGATCAGACGCAGCAGAATAATGGCCGGGAGGTTGGCAGACACACAGATATCGCAGGCATGAACCAGGCGCATTTCACGGGCACAGCCCTGGAAATGGGTATGGTGGATGGGATGTCAAACCCCTAGCACTGCTCCTGGTTGGCGTGAAAAATCTGGCACGTCTTATCACATCTGTTCTGCCCTGATATTTCAGCCAAGCTGTCCTGGAAGGACAGAATGTACCTGTCCCCAAAAGTCTGAGCTTTGGAGAAAGCAAAAGGTTCTGGTAGTCTGAAGCAGAAGCCAGCTGTGTACGCTACCTATTTGTTATTAAATTTATTTATTTATTAAATTTGTATCCCACCCTGTGCCCGTAGATCTCAGGAATGGTTCACACAACATCTCAGGGTGATTCAGAACCGATTGGCTAGCTCCCCTGTCATCAAGCAGCCCCCCCTTGCAGTTTTGCACTTTCAAAAAGAGTTGTTTTACCAAATGGGTTTTAAATAAATAAATCCAGAGGGGTAGCCATGTTAATCTCTTGTGACAAGAAGAAGACTGCAGCTCCTTGGCGCTTTAAAGACCAACACGTTTATGGAGGCATCAAGTCTTAAGCCTGTCCTGTTGGGCTCCAAGCCCGTCAGAGCTTATGCCAGGGGTCAGCAACCTAAGGCCCATGGGCCACAAGCAGCCCACGGGGGTCGTTTAACTGGCCCATGAGCCACCCCTGAACCGAGCTGTCCGCTCGGCGAGTCCCCGCGTACTGCGCTAAACTGGCGCTGCGCACTGCGGGGACTCGCTTCCATGGCGCCGGAAATCACATCTGTGCAGACGCAGACGCCAGAAATCATGGGCACGGGCTCAATCCAGCCCACGGAAGGATCTCCGCTGGAGTGAACCGGCCCATGCTGAAATATACTCGGAGTTGAGTGTGGATTTCATGCTCTTTATTCAGCTCATAGTGGCAAGGAATGCAAGTTCCCCCAAAACGTCTGCTTTATATACATTATTTACACAATGGGCCCCACGTGATTGGCTAATTCTGGGATTCTCCTGTAAGCCAATCAGGTTGCGGATTCACTTTCACCTGGAGCTGGATTGGGTGGCTCCTGCAGACCAATCAGACTGCTGCTTTCTGAATCCTATTGTTCTAGGACCAATCAGACTGCTGCATTTTGGATCCTATTCAACTCAGTACATAACACATGCCATGACAAATGTGGTAAGTCTTTAAGGTGCCACAGGACTTTTATGCTTATTTGTTAAGTAATAAGGTGGGCAAATACATAAGCTATTTGTGCTTTTCAGGCACTGATTTTTTAAAATCCCCCTTCACGGGTAGTCTAGACCGGGGCATCATGCAGAAAGCATGAATGAACGCATGAATCAACTCCTTGTGAAATAGAAGGTGCAAACAATAGGATTTGTGCAATAAGCAAAAGGCATGTGAAATGGAATGAGTAAACTATTTTTTAATTTTCATGCACCTCTTTTAAAAATTCACAGAGCCGGTTTATATAACCTTTTGCTTGGGACGAGGCTGTTTGCTTGTGTTCTGATCTCAAAAGGCATCAGTGGTGAACTGGTTGTGCAAATGCTTCGCCCAAACAGGGGCCTCAGTTTGTTTCTGTCCAGTGCCATTGCAAAGCAACCCAGCGGAGCCTGGCTGGGGGCTCAAGCGTGGCCTTCAGAGTAGTTCCACCATCCCTTCATATTCATTGATGCCTTCTCTAGAATTCAGCCCATCAGAAGCGATTCCCGGGTGGAATACACAGCGACATAGATAATAAATTAGGAAGAACAATGCAGCAAAACACTCACATCAGCAACCGTAATAAAAGGCAGCAGACAAAAAAAATAATATTACAAATTGGAGACAGATTAAAATGTCTGGGTAAATAAAACATCTTACCCTGGTGCCAGAAAAGATGTCTAGTTATCAAGGGAAGTGATAGCACCACTCTATTCTGCCCTGGCTGGACCCCACCTGGAATACTCTGTCCAGTTCTGGGCACCCCAGTTGAAGAAGGATATTGACAAGCTGGAATGGGTGCAGGAAGGGAACAAGGATAATAAAGGGTCTGGATAATAATAATAATTTATTATTTATAACCCACCCATCTGGCTGGGTTTCCCCAGCCACTATGGGCAGCTTCCAACAAAAGATTAAAAATACATTAAAACATCAGTCATTAAAATCTTCCCTAAACAGGACTGCCTTCAGATGTCTTCTAAACATCAGATAGTTGTTTATTTTCTTGACATCTGATGGGAGGACGTTCTACAGGG